CAAAAAACCTACACTATACACACACACAACACGCACCAAAACAATATTAAACTGTCGAAGGCATGAGTCCTCCGAACTCTTGTTTAAAGCTGAAAGTTACAGGTACGAACTGAATATACCGCTGAAGTTTACCGCTGAATTTCCTCAACTGTTTCTCCACCACTATTGTCCAAGTCCATCTCTGCGGTTGCCCCAAACACAGGTTCTACTTTATCTGACGACAACTTGGCGAGTTCGAGGCGAAAATACCGTCCTTCATCCATTTTATGCTAGCAGCAAAAGCAACGTGACTAAAGACGGTCGAGCGACCCAAATGCCGTCTGTTTTGAAAATTCGAGGGTTGTACCAAGTGTAAAATAGGAAGATAAAGTAAAGAGTAATCTTTATAAATAATGCTTTTGTCTTGAATCTACGCTGATTTGAAATGTATATACTTTTATCATAACTAAATAAATTTACCTCTTTACATAAACAAGTCTGAGGAATATCAGAAAGGTCTTTAGAAGTAGGTTTGGAGAAAACACCACCATGTCATGTAATGGTAGCGTCTACTTCCGTTATGGAGCCCCCACTTCCGTTATAGCCTTGGATCCGCAGGTCCGTAAATCGGATATTAATGACCTGGGTTATCGGGGAAACGGAGCCCTCTGATTGGTCGACATCATCTGGAATCTGGAAGATTTATTACCTGCAGGCACATATTGAATAAAATAGAGTCCCAATGTTGAGGTAATTAAGCTGCGAAACAAAATTAAGAATACACTACTCTACTATAAAGGGAGTAAATGTAAACGGTTAAAAAAACAAGTTCTGCAACAACCTGCTAAATGTACACTAAAATGCAAAGGCGCACAGTGACTACCTTCGTACGAAAGATAATCGCAATCAACGCAGCTGCAGCGGTTCTTGAAATCAGTAGCCGAAAAGAGAATCAAAATTCAAACGACCCTGCAGGTCCCCAGGAAACGGCTAGTAGGGAGCCCAAATTTACACATTCAACTAAACCGTTATGTATAGAGTTATGTGGCACCGTAACATCACGTCCACACACTGTCCAGCGTCAAATATTTTTTTTTTAATCCTTACTGCAGTTCTAAAGTCAATCACCAGGGGCCAAAAGTCCACTTACGCAATTCAATTCACCCCATCTACCAACCGGCCAAATATACCTACATTCTTTACGACAGATCTTGACATCTACACGTCATATGGCCCAATCACCCCAAAATGATGTGCTGCGATGGGTAATATTATTTTTGGAAATTCATGTATAACACACTATCTGTCTTTCCGTGCCTACTCACCGTCCTTGTTCGATACCCCTGTTGGACAGTGCAGCACGTGATTCGGGTACGGTGCGAAGTATGGCGCCAGCCTCTCGTCTATTTCAAAGGAGTGTATGATGAAGTCCTTTCCTCCCGGGTAGGTCTCTCTAAATAACTGTACAGTGGACGCCACATTGGCACCACAGTCGAGTAGGATCTTTCTTGGCTCCCCAGCGGTTGGGAGTCTGAAAAAAACGTGATAATCACTAATAATCAATCAATAAATCTACCTGCCGGTTACTGTTCAGTGCGCCAGCTATGTCATGGACTGTTAGTATAAGCTGTGTTTCTGTAGATCATTTGGCTCTGAATCCATGTTGTTAATTCCATCCATATACTGTGGCTTTCTAAGAGCGTCATGATTTAGCTATAATGGATAATATGTTCAAGACGTTAGCAGGATATGTGACGGTCGGCGGCGCGGTATTCTATATACCTTACAACCGACCCTGCCATATTAGGCCCAATCTTCTACTCCAGGTAGCGTGTTCTCTACATATTATTGGGGGCCTCCAAGGTGGGGTCCCGACAACGCTCTACGCTAAATTTTGAGAGCCGGCTACGTATTACGCTGAATTCCGGACGCCTCTCTACGGTCTACGCTAAATTCGAAAGATTCCGAACGCACTATGCAGAACTCAATTACCTAGCAACTGCATGTTTGCGTGAAAACCTTTTGATTTATCACATGTAGAGGTGACATAACTTGAATCAAAAGTAGTAACCGGCGGTCACTTCCTTATACATTTAAAGTATAGAATACAAAACGGGGTATTCGGTATTACCGCAGGTACCAACTTGACCGCGAGTCGATCGCCCGAAGATCGGAAGGCGATCCGTGAATGGAGGTAACATGGCAGTAGCCAGGATTTTGAAGGGGGGGGACCAACGAGCGCCGAAGGCGCGAGGTTCCTAGGGGGGTCCGGGGAATTTTGAAAAATGGACCTTCTGAAATGGCATTTCCTGCGTTTTTTAGAGGATTTCAAAGAAAAAATCAGAGATAACTTGACAATGACAAAGTGAGCCGTTTTCCTACGGCGGATTCCAGCCTTGCTGGTGACACGAATCAGTCCGTCTTTTAAAGAAAAGTCTTGGACCTTTAGATAAAAAGTGGACCAAAAAGTGGACCTTTGAGCCTTGTGTGGTTGTCGTCCTTGGGGTTTAAGTCGGAGTGCTAACCTCCTAGCGGTATTCCCCGGGCAACGGCTGCTGCAATGACCCTGGGTTGCGATACCACCGGGGGCGTGGCGGGGAGCCAACAGGTCTACCTGCGGCTCTCTCGCCGCCCCTGGCAGGTTCAACCATGGTGGGACGGTTCCCAGGCGAGCTCCAACTGGCTAATAGCACCCGCAACTCTCCAGCTCCTCCTTGGAGCAAGCGCTTGGGTGCCAGCGCAGCGGTTGATGAAAATTCTCCCGCAGACACCCTGCAACCTCCCGGCAAGCCAGTCGTCTCGGTTCTCCCTGCCACTGGAGTCCTTGCCGGGGCGGCCAAGATAGTGGATTGGGTTTGTGCGCCCCCTCTCCACTTAAAACTTACTCAGCACATGCTTCACTTCTATATATGTGTATCTATGTGCATGTCAGCTTACTTAACTCAACTTACCCTGACTTGACTTACCATACAAGTCCCACGGCGATGGGGTCGGTACGACGGGAGCAGGTGAGGATGCCACTGGAAGCTCCTAGTTCCTACCCTGCACGTGTGGCGGCTTCGGTGCTGATGGTCGCTGGAAGGCTGACTAGGAGCGACAGTCTCTAGAGGCAGCGCCCGAAGCGTCTGGGCAGCCCTTTTTAGGGATCGCACTGCCCACCCCAGCAAAGGGGAAGGGCCTAGAAAAGGTGGCCTAATCATTGCTCGCTCCACAACAAACCACGAGCGGGGAACCGCACCCGCTGTGGCGTCCCTTACACGCGGTCAAAACAATGTAAAGAAAACGGACTTGACTCTAGCAAGTTGGAACGTTCGAACCCTACTTGACTCAGACCAATCAGACAGTCCTGAGAGACGCACCGCACTGATTGCAGCCGAGCTAGGACGGTACAACATAGACATAGCAGCACTCTCTGAGACACGCCTAGCGTCTGAGGGCTCCCTGGTAGAGGAAGGCGAAGGGTACACCTTCTTCTGGAA